CTTTTTTTGATGGAACCTCACTTGGGCTTCATCTGGGCGAACCCTGCTTATGGTGCGCTTCACGTGCATGGGACTGCACCCGTTTTCACCGATTCTTATATGGTATCAGAACCGGTTCTCTTAGTATCACTTGGGACTCCTCTTTACGAAATTCAAACTTATATACAGAGCCGGGAGCCCAAGCGCAATTGGGTTGGGAAACGGGTACGACATATGATGGTCCCACATAGAACTGACTCTGATAACATGTAAGAAACGAGGGGGGTAAAATGGGTGCGCTCACACACACGTGCAACTTCATAGTTATTAAATATTAAAAGGACAAGTATAAACATAGGTGCAAGTAGCAAACTATTTTTGCATATTCTAAAAACATTTATGCATAAAATAATCATAACTAAATTTACAGTATAATGTAATGATAGGATGAAAAATTGTCGCAGTTCATAAACGTCCATTCTCCGGTGCCTAACGATTAATGAAACCAGATATTAAAGATGCATAATATTAACATGAATGTCAATTTCTAACTATTCTCTCCGAAAGTGCAAGTTTTGAAGTGGGTTGTTGTTGCATTCGGGTATTTCAAGTGCGGCAAGTCGCTGAGCTTACCTAATTTCGTTTCATAATATTTGACATACTCCATCTAGTAGACGAGGCATTGAAACGGTGTGTACTTATCATAAATTTGTGAAATAACTTCTCCATAGATATTTGTTGTAGTTATCCCTGTCTTTCCATGTACTTTTTCCAAATGTTTGATGGTTTCAGTATCAACAACAATGTGTTGATAGAAGCTAAGGCACATCATGATGTTTGCAACCACAAAGGGGTCAAAACCTTTCTTGCTTATTAGAAGCGGGTGGAGCTTGTCGTGATCCAAACTTCCATTAGAGTGGTTTGGGCTAATTTCAGTATGGTTGATGCTCTGTATCCTGAAGTGAAATTTTGATTCAGTGTGTTCTCATCAAGGCCAATCATTTGTTGTGGACTTAGAAAGTGGCCCATACAGTACAGATATTGTATCCGCCAACATGATGATGATAATTTTCTTCTCTTGGATCTCTTCTCATTCCCACCTCTCAATAATTTCCGCTCAAGCTAACACAGATTTTCAGCCATTTCCAACGACATCGACCATCTGCAATAACAAAGTAGAATAGACTTGACAATGTCCTCAAATAAAGTCGGGGAGCAAAACGTTCAAGCAAAATCAATTTCCTTTGCCTCTGGACAAACAATATGGAATTCCTTCACCATCATATCACCGTTTCTAAAATCCGCAACATCCGTGAGCCCATGCCCCGTATCTCTTCTTTGTCATCGTGTGAAAGTTTGTGCTCATTTGAATGGAGCACGGTGACAAAATAAAATTTTTGTTGATTGTTGATTGTGTTATATAGACAATGACATTTTTGCTGCTGCTGAGATACAAGGGCAGTATCAAACTCTTTCAAAAGTGTGATACGGCCCGAAGTGTGTGATACGACCCTTGCATCTTAGCGTCAGCAGCAAAAATTGTCACTGTCTATATAACACAATCAACAATCAGCAAAAACTTAATTTTTGCCACGGTGTTCCATTCAAATGAGCACAAACTTTCAGACGATGACATTGAAGAGATACGGGGCATAGTGTATGTTGCGGATTTTAGAAAGGGATGATATGATGGTGAAAGAATTTCATATTGTTTGTCCAGAGGCAAAGGAAATTGATTTTCCTCGAATTTTTCACTCCCTAATTTTATTTGAGGACATGGTCAAATCTATTCTATTTTGTTATTGCAGACGATCGAGGTCGTTGGAAATGGCTGAAGCTCTGTGTGAGCTTGAGCGGAATTATTGAGAGGTGGGAATGAGAAGAGATCCAAGAGAAGGAAATTATCATCATGTTGTTGGCGGATACAATATCAGTACTGTGTGGGCAACTTTCTAAGTCCACAACAAATTGCTGGTCTTGATGAGGACACACTGAATCAAAACTGCATCTTAGGATATAGACCATCAACTATACTAAAATTAGCTCAAACAATTCTAAATGGAAGTTAGGATCACAACAATCTACACCCGCTTCTAATAAGCAAGAAAGGTTTTTGCTCTTTGTGGTTGTAAACATCATGATGTGCCTTAGCTTCTATCAACACATTGTTGTTGATACCGAAAACTATCAAACATTTGGAACAGGTACATGGAAAGACCAGGATAACTACAACAAATATCTATGAAGAGGTTATTTCACAAACTTATGATAAGTACACCACCATTTCAATGTCGCGTCTACTAGATAGAGCATGTCAAATATCATTAAACGAAATTAGGTAAGCTGAACGACTTACCACACTCAGAGTATGCTAATGCAACGACAACCAATTTCAAAACTTGCACTTTTAGAGAGGATAGTTAGAAGTTGACATTCATATTAACATTATACATCTGTAATATCTGTAATATCTGGCTTCATTAATCGTTACGCAGGGGAGAGTGGACGTTCATGAAGTGCGATAAATTTTCATCCTATCATTACATAATACTATAAATTTAGTTCTGATTATTATATGCTTAAATGTTTTTAAAAGATGCCAAAACGGTATGCTACTTGCACGTTATTTGCCTATGTTTATACTTGTCATTTTAATAATAACAAACTATGAAGTTGCACGTGCGTGGGACCGCACCCATTTTACCCCATATTTCTTACATGGTATCAGAGTCAGTTCTATGTGGGACCATGCGATGACGTACCCGTTTCCCAGCCCAGCTGTACTTGGGCTCTCAGCTCTGTATATGAGTTTAGGTTTCGTAAGGGCTCACAAGTGATTCTGACAGAACCGGTTCTGATACCATGTAAGAATCGATGGAAAAGGGTGCGGTCCCATGCACGTGAAACGCACCATAAGTTCGACCAAGTGAGGTTCCATCCCAAAATTAATTGGTGGAAGGAGGAGTAGCCCACTAGACTTATAAGTTAGGGCTATTTGCCATGTATAAATGATGTGGCAGCAACAAAAAATGTGTGTGATACGGCCTTTGCATCTCAGCGGCAACATCAAAAATGTCATTGTCTATATAATATAAACAACAAAAACTTTATTTTTGTCACGGTGCTCCATTCAAATGAGCACAAACTTTCAGACGACAAAGAAGAGATACTGGGCATGGTGTCACGGATGTTGTGGATTTAAAAAATAGATGATATGATGGTGAAGGTATTCAATATTATTTGTCCAGAGGCACAGGAAATTGGTTTTGCTTAGAATTTTTTGCTCCCCAACTTTATTTGAGGACATTGTCGAGTCTATTCTACTTTGTTATTGTAGATGGTCGAAGTCGTTGGAAATGGCTGAAGCTCTGTGTGAGCTTGAGCGGAAATTATTGAGAGGTGGGAATGAAAAGAGATTCAAGAGAACGAGATTATCATCATCATATTGTTGGCCTGGCGGATACAATATCAGTAGTGAATGGACAACTTTCCAAGTGGGAAACTTTTCAAGTCCACAACAAATTTCTGGCCTTGACGAGGACATACTGAATCACAATTGCACCTTAGGATACAGTGCATCAACCATACTAAAATTAGCTTAAATCACTCTAAATGGAACTTTTGATTAACATTTGGATCACGACAAGCTCCGCCTGCTTCTAATAAGCAAGACAGGGGCCCCTTTGTGGTGGCAAACATCGCGATATGCCTTGGCTTCTATCAATAGGAGTTTTGATTTAGATTATCTTCAACATTTGGATCACGTGACTGTTGATAGAAGCCAAGGCATATCATGATGTTCGCAACCACGAGGAGCCCAAACCTCTCTTGCTTATTAGAAGCGGGCGGAGCTTGTCGTGATCCAAATGTTGAAGATAATCTAAATCAAAACTTCTATTTAGTTATTAGAGCGAGTTCCACTAAGACAAGTGAGAGGGCGTGTTAGAATATCACTTGTGAGTTGTCTCACATTGTTTGTACTAGACCTAACTTATATGTCTAGTGGGCTACTTCTACTTCCACCAATTGGTTTTGAAATGGAACCTAACTTGGGCTTCATTTGGGCTTTCCCTGTCTTGGTGCGTTTCACGTGCGTGGGACCACACTCATTTTACCCCCCGTTTCTTACAGGTTCTACATGAAACCGTGCGATGACGTGCCCGTCACCTAGCCCAGTTGGGCTTGGGACCCCGCCTAGTTGGGCTTGGGCTTTGTATGAATGACTCACAAGTGAGGGGCGTACTAGAATATAATACCACTTGTGAGTTGTCCCACTATGGAAAATAGACCTAACTTATAAGCCTAGTGGTCTACTCCTCTTTCCACCAATTGGTTTTGGGATGAAACCTCACTTGGGCTTCATGTGAGCACCCTGTTATGGTGCGCTGCACGTGCGTGTGACTTATAAAGTGGTCTACTCTTCTTTTCACTAATTGGTTTTGGGATGAAACCTCACTTGTGCTTCATATGGGCACCCTGTTATGGTGCGCTTCACGTGCGTGGGACTGTACCCATTAGCTCCCAGATTCTTACACGAATAATAATAAAAATAAGGAAATAAATAAACTAATGACGATAAGCGATATGCTTGTCCAAAAAGGCCAATGTAGTCTCGTCTTCATCTCGTCTTCATCAGATGAAATGTATGGATCTTACTGCCTCATATCTTTGATTGCAGTAAATTGTATCTCTAGTTTAACAAGTTCTTGTTATGCAGAGCAAGCCAACTGAAACCATTGTGCGAGAACTGCAACTTGGATAGCATCCCTCTAAAATACATGTGACGTTGTAACTATGTTAGTACAAAAAGAATTACATGGAGAAATATGCTTGAATGGGTTTTTAAGTTCTGATGATCTGATCTCCATCTTCATATCCTTATTATAGATTGTTTTGGTAGTATCAAGTTATTTTCCAGTTGTTTAATTTTCTGTTATGATTTTTGGAGATAAATTAAACTCACTAATCTGATGAGAAAACATTTGACATGGCTAACTTGGTAGCCGGCATGGTTGTGACAGGTAATTGTTCGGACGTGGGATCAGAAAGAGGAGCGGTTTATCAAATTGTCAGATGATGTTGTGAGTAATTGAAATATTTGTTTATTATTTCCTTTTATTTTTTGATGAAATAATGAGAGTAGAGTGGTGAAGAAAGTTGCCCGTGTCTTAAGAGATCTACTGTTGCGTAAGACCTCAAACTCTTTGATTATAGGTGTATATGAATCTATAAATGCTGTTACTGAAGTATCATTAGGCCGATAGTGATTGTTAGCTTCCTGTTAAACATGTGATGAACCCGCGCGTTCCCATTTTCCTGTTACTTGAGGTGAGTGTCGACTATATTATTGGTTACTCTGAATGCAACCAAGTAAATCCTTTTATTTTCAGTTGGTTTGTTGACTTGATTTTAATGCTTTCTCGGTGTGAATGTCCATCTGTAAGTAATGCCTTACTAGAAACATTTTGAGTGCTTACGTTATCCATATGGCCTGTCCCATGACACGTTGACTAGCCCAAAAGCCACCATATCTTGTATACATGTGATAACCTGTATAATATATAAGTTTTATTTGGCTGGTTTGTCAGTTGTCGTTTCTTATTTACATCGAAGGAATTTAATAGTCATATTGTTCATGTTACCATAGTATGAGATCATTGAAGGATCATCTTATAATTCTTGCATTGAGACGCTCTTAACGTATTTTTCCTACAGGAAGAGGGATACTCTTGTGCAGTTAAAAGATTGGAATTTGATAAACACCTCGGATCGTACACATTGAGCTATGGCGACTGGAAACAATTGTCCAACTACATTACCAAGGATACAATTGAGCGTATCGGTCGGTAATTTTGAAATCTAACTGAATTTTTATCACTTTTAAAGCAGAGTGTGAGATTAGGGTCAACTGCAGTACTGTAAGGATCAGTAAATTGATTGTGGATAATACAACTTCATATCAGCAGGAAATGAATTCCTTACAGATAACAAATTAAATGATCCTTACCACGTACCAAATGACCGACCTTGATGGATGTTTCTAAGCTTGAACATATGATTATTGTGTAGTATGTATCCATTTGTACTAGGATTCCTTTCATGTCTGTGAGGTGGAGTCCGAAAATGGTTTAGGTCTTTAGTTATGTTGAACTCTTGCAGTTCTTGCCACCCATTTTAATATGAATAAATCATTGATTAACATATCATTCATTCAATCATAGAATATCTATTTATAGTTATGGTGAATTGTCAGGGCACGAGAGGCACAACTTTTAAATCAGAGGGTAAAACTAGAATTCTTTTGACCTTTTTACGGACAACCTTCTTTATTCCTGATCCTAGTGCATGGTTTCCGTCATATCATCAATGCATTCTTTCTAAAGAATATATATCCTTGTTTAGTAAACTTGTAATTGATTTACACTGTATAGAACCTATTGGAGGAGAAATCACAGTTTCCTCTGAATCTGGAATTGCTGGAAAGTTCTCCATTGCAGCCATGGAGAGAACCCTAAACAGCCAACTAAAGAATAGCAAATTTTCATCACCTGTAAACACACCCCAAAAACGAGGTTGTTATTACACTGAAATTCCTCGAGTTGTGAAGCACAAGGGCATGTCAAGCAAGGAGCTTACTGATTTGAATCTTGATAAGGTATTTGGAAGTTGATATTCACTAGAAGTCTTCATATTTGTTGTGATCCAAAAAATTGATTTATTTACTCTATGTCAGACCCAACTGTTGGAAAGGATATTGGTGAAAGAATATGGAGGTGATGAAGATGCACTGCTAGCTGAATTGCAATTTGCTTTCATTGCATTTTTGGTAATGAGGAGTTCTGTATATCTTTTCTTCTTCGCATAATAGATATATTCTTGAACAATATGAACTTGGACATTTATGAAACCTCAAAGGCAATTGTATTTGGTTGACTCACATGTTAACTTATGCAAAATTGTGCAGATGGGCCAATCCCTTGAAGCATTTTTTCAGTGGAAGGATTTGGTAACTTTATTCTTTGGATGTACAGAAGCTGTAAGCATACATTGAAGCCTAACATTTCTGGTGTCATATTTGTGTGATAGACCATAATCTTCATCCTCTGATAAATTGATTTTGCATCAATTGAATTGTGTGCCAATACAGATAGATTGTAATGTAGAAACCCTTTTCCGTTTGTGGAAACCCTGAGTCTCAAAATGGGAAATTGCCTGAAACCGATTATGCTACTGGGTATACTCATTTTCTGGTTGGAGTTGCTGTTGTAAATTTTAGGAAATTTTAGTTACCTTGCATGTAGTGCTACAAGCGGTCTTAGTTGGTACCTTTATTCAGTGCAGTTTATCTATTATTTACTTTTCATGTTCTTCAAGAATAGAGCTACTGATAATAGATGGGTATGAATTTCGGTTTCTAGTCTGTGCGAATTTTGGGTTTTGGGTATTTATGGTAAAGATATTTGAACTTAATTCACAGCTAACAGTTGGTCCTTGACGTTGGCTTTTTGATGAAGAGGAGTGTATTTTGCTTTAGGAGCCAAGAATCGTTCTGGTGGCTGGTGTTCTGATTGAGATTACTAAGTTTTGGGTCTTACCTCTTAAGCATACAAAATATGCAACTGTTCTATAATTTAATCTGGATTTGTCATGGGATTTTAATTTATTTCCATATTCCAATTTGAAAGGCTTCTACGGAATGAAAGGTTACTTTTGAAGAATCTATATATTTGATATGTACGTCTTAATGTTTTCACTCTATGTAGGTGTCGTTTAGCTGTGCTCTGCCTCATATTTGTGAAACTAATGAAATTGGTTTCATGCAAATTCTAACCTCTGCCTCCTCTTCTTGTAGCCCCTGCACACTAGGAGTCGGCTTTTTACCAAGGTATTTTTATGGAGGCTTATATCTATGCTTCTTTTTTTCACTTGTCTCTAATTTTTGGGCAAGGTGGTAGTTAAGGTTGCTTCAGCCTCATTGTATCATTTAAGTATTGGTGTATTACCCATTCCACTATGTTTTGACCATAGTTATTTCTATGATTAGACTTTCTCCTGGTTCTGAGATCTGTTATTATGAACGCCTTGTTTGTCAAATCTTTTTGCCTTCACTGTGCATAGATACCTTAGGTTGACTTAGTTAGAAGGTCATCATTCTTATTAAGTTCCACAGACAGTAAGATTTGTAGTTGTGAGTGCACTTTTCCATCAGTACTCAATAGCACTTGTGTAGTATCTTACTATTGTATTTCTGAGAGTCCCACTCTTACTCAATAGCACTTGTATAGTACCTTACTATTGTGTTTCTGAGAATCCCACTCTTAGACCTATGTTCTAGGTTCCTACTAAAGCTTTACAATTCTCGTGTCAAAATCACATGATGGGACCTAACCCCCGCTAGTTTGATCTTGTGGTGAAATCAAGCAGATGTTGTATTGGCACCTATTGGGATCTCAATGCATTACTATTTGTGTTCAGAGTTAGGCTGCTGAGCTCATTATTACATTGCATACCTCACTATCTTCTTTATGCAATACTTCTTGAGGGAACTTGTCGAAATTCCGGTTCGATAAATACAATAAATTTTGTGGAAATTCAAAATGAATGAAGGAGTGTTAAATTAAATTAGGGGAGCTGTGGTTGCTGTAATTCTAGACCTATTGGTTCATCTGTCTCTTCTAATTCCAATTGATCTCCACCTATCGTAACTGTGTTTCTGACTGTTCAGTTCATTGTGTTTTCTCCTAGTCATGGTGATCTTTCTTTTGAATCATGAAATTTATTGCGTTCGCAGTATATTAAGGTCATATATTATCAGCTGAAATATGGATTCCTAAAGGATCAAAAGGATACTGGTGCTAAGCCTGAGGTAGTGTCAGTATTGTTGGATGAGTCCTGGTTATCATCCGATAGTTTTCTGTACCACCTCTGTAAGGTAATAACTTGCAGTCTACAATACACTTATCTGTCTGCAATTTGCTTGAGGTATCTTGATATTTTTCGAAAGTCTTAAGCATTGTTGTGTCCAATAGAGGTTTTGTTTGTTGAATTAAAATTGGCATGAAGTGTGCCTCTAATTTATTTCTCTTTCTTCTACATTTGAGAATCACTAAAGGCAAGTGACTTAATCAAATGTTAACCAGTCCTGTGTGTACGATTATTTTCTGCTGATTTTGAACTTTAATTCTTTTACATTTTTGTAGTGCTGACTTTGAACTTCAATTGCTCCTCAATATCAAGGGTTGGTCGAAAAAGCAAAATGAACTTACAGTTTCTTACACTCTCCAATGCAGGATTTCTTTTCATTGGTGCTACAAGCTACTGTGGTTGATGGGGATCTTCTGTCATGGGTATGTATTATTGTAAAAAATGGCCTGAATATCGTATATATTACAACTAGAATCAAACAAAATCTTTACAGGTAAACTGATCTTTTTTCTTGATGAACTGTTGGTTTTGGAAGTTCATTATTGACGTAATCCTTATTATGTGTTTGACTTTACAATATAGCAAAAATGGTGTGATTGGGTTGCAAAATACAACTTTTTGTGGAAAAATGCTTAACGGCCATGGTGTGGTTGGATATAAGTTATTTTGGTTTTGATTGGATTTGTTGGTTAACCAGAGCTAATTTTGAAAAGGTTGGTTGGGTTAGAGGTATGAGTTGGATTTTGAGTTGAAATAATGTCTAAAATAAGATAATTAAAGTTGATTTGACGTAAAAGTAGGAGAAAGGTGATTGAAAGTGATGGGTAGTTAGAATTATCTGAGTGGATAAATTGTAAATTAAAGTCGATGTGATATGCGAGGATGATTGAGTGGTATTATTTAATTATCAATATAATATTGATGAGAGTTGGGTCGAGTGAAATTTGAGTTACAAAATTGGGATTTTTGTATCCAAGCACCCTTCTGAGGGTTTAACTCAGCAATTTGTTGATTCTTTCTTTTCCATTTTAATTTAGCCTTTTTCAGGACCTTGAAAGTTATTATTTTATGTTGGGTTTTTTATTGGTTGGGCCTAATGTGAGGCTTAACAAATCTTGGATTTAGTTTTGTATTCTACGAAAACGAGAGTGATTATAAGGTTCTTTTTTTTTTTTCACTTCATTTGTTGAACTATAAGTTGGTTTTGATAATTTGTCTCGTTCCATGGTGTAAGTCCTGGTTTTTCGTTTACGTTATATGAGAAATATTTGTGTTTTCAAGTATTCTTTATATTTCCATATGGTCATGTGAGGTTAGAAGAGCAAATATATCAGTTTTAAGGAGATCTTTGTTATTGTTAACCTAACAAATATTGCTTTATTAACGACATTCCTTCTTTGGCTGCAAAGGAGTATTGTGTCGTGTCCTTGTTCCTCGACTATTATGTTGCATGAGGCCATAGCCTCTTGTGCACCCTTCTCAGCTAAGTCAGCCTCACTGTGCTTGGAACGTGCTCGGTGTGTGCTGTCTTAGCTAGCTACCTGGGGCGCTACTAGGACTAGCAATGACATGAAGTGCCGGGACCAAAACAAGCGACGACCTGAGGTCCCGCCGATGGACCATACAACAAGTATCTACACTCTTCTGGAGCATTCTAGAAACTTCCTGACATAACTAGGCATTTCTTAGGGCTGATGTGCGGGCGCTAAGCTAGAATCTGGCCAAGCGCGGCAAAACTGTAGGCAGATGGGACATGCTGCTAGTGCGCCTATGGTGTGGGGCATTAGTATTACAAATGCCTTTTTTTTTTTTTTTAACAAGACTTGGTGAATCAAATTTGTTAGTTGAGGTTAAATTGTAGGAAGCTCTGCATTCCCTAAAAAGATAAAAATCTTGACTGAAATTTTGATTTTACTCTTGCCAGGCGAGAAGACTGAGAATGCTGCTTGAGGACACTTTTGGGTGGCAGTTTCAACAGAACAGCGCTGGAGTTTACTTTGAGGAAGACGATGAGGTATGGAAAAGGGTCTGCTGTTTAGTTTCATATGTGTTGCGTTTGATTTTGGTATATATATATATATCAATCAAACTGTATATTCAATTTCTGCAGTATGCTCCAGTGGTAGAGATTTTGGATGATGCGGACTGCAGTAATTCCTGAACTGTATCGGTATTCTTTTTGATGTCTTGTATGAGTGGGCTGGCATGCAAGTTGTGTTTCGGATAAATCCCAGAAAATTTACCAGGTAAAAGCTGGTTTCCAGTTGTCATTCGTACATGAGCAGCTTCAGTAGGCTGTGTAGCTTATAGAGCCTGATATACTTATATAGACTAATAAAAAAGCATGTATCTATGCTGTATTTTATTAGGTTCTGTTATTGGTTTACTTCCGCCTCCTTAACAAATGATGGAAGTAATTATGGAACTTCAATGTCCTCCTAGCCGAGTGAAGCAAGCCCCTACTGGTTTTACTATCATAATAAATATTGAACCTGAAAATATGTATCCTTCCTTCTAATCGGGTGTCAGTCAGGTACTGATACTAAAAACCAATATGTATAAGTTTTTATTACAGGATGATAGAAGAGTGCCAATGTGCTAGGAGTAGTTTTGAGACGTCTTATCGACCGACCAATTGCTATGAAGTACAACTTTGGCCGAGAGGGTCCTGAAATTGAAATTTCACAATTCATGTGTAGATCAATAAAATGCGTCGTAAACTTTTTCAAAATTCGATTGGTCTGGGCACTTGAGGAGGATATGTTACGACATAACTTAAGATAGATATTATTACGTTATAAATTCTCCCCCTTAATAAAACTTTGCTCACGCTACTATATATTTTGATGCAATGTTAATTTTGAGTGGCTATGACCAGAAAGTTCAATTGTAATTTTTCTGTTTTTAACAGACATTGTAAGAATTAAAAAAATCAATTTTGGTTCGATAGCTTTCCCATTATACCGATACACTTTGTCAGTTAGAACAAAAATCGGTCTACTCTACTATGTATTTCCTTAAATTCATCTTCAAGAATTATTATGAAGCTATGCGACTAGAAATTGAGACCTCCCCCTCTATGCCTTGCGGTAATAATTCCTCTGGCATTACGACCTTGCTATGCTTAGTGTGTGACTCGTTGGTTTTTGTTATTTATAGGATTAAAAGAGATCAGCCGGGTAGATGAAAAAGCTTCTAAATTACATCTATCCTCGCTTTGACGGACTTCCTAACATTAGATATTTCCAAGTCTTTTTTCCTCTGTTTTGAAGAGCCGAGTCATACGGAAACCACTAGCTTGCACTGGAAATATAAAGAAGGCAAGGCAAGCCAAGCCAAGCCATGCTTTATTCCTGATCGATCAATGCAGCAAATTGCATCTAAGTTGTAATGGCATCTTGACGGGATGGGAGCTATAATATAAGCACCGGAATCTTATTCCATTGCCACAACCTAAAAGCCAGTGTCTTCTTTGAATGCACGCACATTTTTTACCACCATTTTTGTGCTGATTAGACCATCGTCCTCTCTTTCGCCTCTGCTTTTTATCAAGAAAGAAAGATTGGCATTTACACTTCTAATGCCATTTAATAGCGACATCTGGCCGAATCATATCATATGTCAAGTAGCTAGGTTGGTCAAACTTCTCAACATTGTACAGGGAGATGCTACGGTCCCGTTATCGAATCATTCTGTCAGGGTTTGTAACTGTTGAATCATAATGTAACCGTCGGGAATAGATTATCTAACGGTTGCAAACCCCGACGGAATGATTCCGTAACGGACCGCAACATCTCTCCATTGTACAAAGTTTAAATAGTTTTCTCACACCTTAAAAAACGAAATATGTAATCTGATAATCATCAATCTCAAAAATCTATATATATAAAGATTTGATTATTTTTAAAATAGTAACCCAAATAAATCTTACTTACTATTTAAAGAAATTAATAATTCAATTTTTGGTATGAAATGAATTTTTTGATACGAAATGGTTGGGTTATATTGGTATAGATTTATTTATTTATTTATTTTTTCTTTTTGTATGCGTCAGTTTTGATTTTTTTGGTATGATTGCCTAGATTTTCATTTTTGTACGAATATCCATTTTTCCTTTTTAATTTGGTTATCTTTACCAAAATAAATTTTGCATAGTTATCTTCTGATTTGATGGCAATAGCTTTCTTCAATATTTATGGTTTCACGGAAAATTTTTTTTCATAAAAAATAAAATTTAAATATAAATTAATGTAATCAAAAGGTTAATTTAATACAAAATAGTTCTTTTTAATAAATAAAATAATACATGTTAGTAATTGAATCTAACACAACTTTTTTTATAAAAATTGAACCTCATTAATAGTTATTTAGAAAACTAAAATTTAATATAACAATAACTTGATTGAAAATGGTTGTATTCTAATGTATATAATTTAATAATCAAGTTCAAAATTAAAATATAAAGTAAAATTCCGCAAAAATTTTGTTTTTAATATAAGTGGTATTTCGTTTTCGATAATTTTCATTTTATACAAAAATAATTAGTCTTGAATTGGTTTTAATATCTCTATTATTCACATTAAATTTGGGATTGATCTCTTACTTTTTCTATTCTACATTTATTTACAATAAACTATTTTATATTTCCTTTTCATACATTACCATATATTATACTTCGTTTTCTTATTTAGTTCATGCATAAATTATTCACGGGTGTTATATTAAATGCAAAATAAATTAATTACTCTATTTAATTTTCACAAATATAAATATATCATAAATAAAATAAATATTTTTCATAAAATATTTTACAACAATTGAAATAATATTAAAAATTCTTTTACTTTCTTATTACTTATTTATAGTTTTATTTCTTTTTTTTTTTCAAAACGATATATATTATTATAAATCAAAGCGCATGATATAGTCACACTGGCTCATAACGGTTCATATCATCATGGTCCGAAGCTATCGAGTCGACTTCAACTTAGTCGACTCCGCCAGTAAGGCTCCACGATACACAGTCAAGAATCCCGGCTCTCGACCGAGTCAACGTACACTCGTCGACTAGAATAAGTCGACCTCTGGCAAGACAACTCGGACGTATCAGGG